GGTGAAGTGGTTGTAGTTGAACCTGTAGATGTCATAGTAGTGGGGGTTGTTGAGGTTGTAGTTGAACCTGTAGGTTCAAGTACAGATGTAGATGTAGACATTTGATTTGTTGAGGTTTTAATGGGAGGTGATGTGGTTGTAGTTGAAGCTGTAGATGTTGATGTAGTGGGGGTTGTTGAGGTTGTAGTTGAACCTGTAGGTTCAAGTACAGATGTAGATGTTGAAATCTGTGTTGTTGAGGTTTTAATGGGAGGTGATATGGTTGTAGTTAAACCTGTAGATGTTGTAGTGGGAGTTGTTGAGGTTGTAATGGGAGGTGATGTGGTTGTAGTTGAACCTGTAAATGTTGTTGTAGTGGGGGTAGTTGAGGTTGTAGTTGAACACGTAGGTTCAAGTACAGATGTAGATGTTGAAATTTGAGTTGCTGAGGATTTAATAGGAGGTAATGTGGTTGTAGTAGAACCTCTAGATGTTGCTGTAGTGGGAGTTGTTAAGGTTGTAATGAGAGGTGTGGTTAAATTTGAACCTGTAGATGTTGTAGTAGTGGGGGTTGTTGAGGTTGTAGTTGAACCTGTAGGTTCAAGTGCAGATGTAGATGTTGACATTTGATTTGTTGAGGTTTTTAAAGGAGGTGAAGTGGTTGTAGTTGAACCTGTAGATGTTGTAGTAGTGGGGGTTGGTGAGGTTGTAGTTGAACCTGTAGGCTCAAGTACAGATGTAGATGTTGAAATCTGAGTTGTTGAGGTTTTAATGGGAGTTGATGTGGTTGTAGTTAAACCTGTAGATATTGAAATTTGAGTTGCTGAGGATTTAATAGGAGGTAATGTGGTTGTAGTTGAACCTGTATATGTTGTAGTGGGAGTTGATGTGGTTGTAATGGGAGGTGATGTGGTTGTAGTTGAAACTGTAGATGTTGTAGTGGGAGTTGATGTGGTTGTAGTTGAAACTGTAGATGTTGATGTAGTGGAGGTTGTTGAGGTTGTTGTTGAACCTGTAGGTTCAAGTACAGATGTAGATGTTGAAATCTGAGTTGTTGAGGTTTTAATGGAAGGTGATGTGGTTGTAGTTGAACCTGTTGATGTTGTTGTAGTGGGGGTTGTTGAGGTTGTACTTGAACCTGTAGGTTCAAGTAGTAAGGTAGATGTTGAAATTTGAGTTGCTGTGGATTTAATAGGAGGTAATGTGGTTGTAGTTGAACCTGTAGAAGTTGTTGTAGCGAGAGTTGTTGAGGTTGTAATGGGGGGTTTTGGGGTTGTAGTTAAACCTTTAGATGTTATTGCAGTGGGAGATGTTGAGGTTGTCGTTGAACACGTAGGTTGAAGTACAGATGTAGATGTTGAAATTTGAGTTGCTAAGGATTTAATAGGAGGTAATGTGGTTGTAGTTGAACCTCTAGATGTTGTAGTCGGAGTTACTGAGGTTGTAATGAGAGGTGTTGTGGTTGTATTTGAACCTGTAGATGTTGTTGTAGTGGGGGTTGTTGAGGTTGTAGTTGAAACTGTAGGTTCAAGTACAGAGGTAGATGTTGAAATTTGAGTTGCTGCGGATTTAATAGGAGGTAATGTGGTTGTAGTTGAATCTGTAGATGTTGTTGTAGTGGGAGTAATTGAAATTGTAATGGGAGGTGATGTGGTTGTAGTTGATCCTGTGGATGTTGTTGTTGTTGGGTTTGTTGAGGTTGTAGTTGAACCTGTAGGTTCATGTACATATGTAGATATTGAAATTTGAGTTGCTGAGGATTTAATAGGAGGTAATGTGGTTGTAGTTGAACCTGTAGATGTTGTTGTAGTGGGGGTTATTGAGATTGTAGATGAATCTGTAGGTTCAAGTACAGATGTAGATGTTGAAATTTGAGTTGTTGAGAATTTAATAGGAGGTAATGTGGTTGTAGAAGAACCTGTAGATATTGTTGTAGTGGGAGTTGTAGAGGTTGTAATGGGAGAAGGATTTGTTGTTTTTGAACCTGTAGATGTTTTAGTAGTGGGGGTTGTTGAGGTTGTAGTTGAACCTGTAGGTTCAAGTACAGATGTAGATGTTGACGTTTGATTTGTTGTTGTTTTAATAGGAGGTGAAGTGGATGTAGTTGAACCTGTAGAAGTAGTTGTAGTGGGAGTTGTTGAGGTTGTAATGGAAGGTGTTGTGGTTGTAGTTGAACCTGTAGATGTTAAAGCAGTGTGAGCTGTTGAGGTTGTAATGGGATCTGATGTGTTGTTAGTTGAACCTGTAGATGCTGTTGTAGTGGGAGTTGTTGAGTTTGTAATGTGTGATATTGTGGTTGTAGTTATAGATGTTTTTGTAGTTGGGGTTGTTGAGGTTGTATTGTGTGATACTGTGGTTGTAATGGAACCAGTAGATGTTGTTGTAGAGAGAGTTGTTGAGGTTGTAATGGGAGATGCTGTGGTTGTAGTTAATCCTTTAGATGTTGTTGCAGTGGGAGGTGTTGATGTTGTAAGGGGAGGTGATGTGTTTGTAGTTGAACCTTTAGAACCTTGAGATGTTGTTGTAGTTGCAGTTGTTAAGGTTGTAATGGAAGGTGATGTGGTTGTAGTTGAACTTGTAAATGTTATTGCAGTGAGAGTTGTTGAGGTTGTAATGGAAGGTGATGTGGTTGTAGTTGAAACTGTAAATGTTGTTGTAGTGGCAGTTGTTGAGGTTGTAATGGGATCTGATGTGGTGTTAGTTGAACCTTTAGATGCTGTTGTAGTGGCATTTGTTGAGGTTGTAATGGGAGGTGTTATGGCTGTAGTTGAACCTGTAGATGTTGATGTAGTTGCAGTTGTTGAGGTTGTAATGGGGGGTGTTGTGGTTGTAGTTGAAGCTGTAGATGTTGTTGTAGTTGGTCTTGTTGAGGTTGTAATGGGGGGTGTTGTTGTTATAATTGAACCTTTAGATGTTGTTCTAGTGGCAGTTGTTGAGGTTGTAATGAG